ACCTTAGTTATTTTCGACATTTTCTTCAACCTCGGGGGTAGGGTGAGGACGGCCGTTACGGGGATCGTTATAACGATGCTAGTTCAAATGATTATTTATTATGAATTTTGCTGATAAAATCGAAGACGGAGTCAATTCGGCAAATCAAATTACGATTTTTTGAAAAAAAGGAAATCTTGATATCAAATGTTTCAAAAGAACAAATGAAGAAAGTGTCGAAAAAACCTAAGGTCCACCCCCTTAGTCGATTCATGTTTGCAAAGCAGATGAACGCGCATACCCAGCGAGGATTTTTGAGCGACTTTCCGAACTTTGAAAAAATATTTCTCTGCACAGAGTTGACGGAGCGACACTCAGAATAGTCGGTTGGGATGATGGTTTATCTRAAAATCACTGATAGGACTTTCGCTGTAAGATATTGAGCGTGTAGGGAGAAATATTTTTTTGATTGCGAGCGTTTGGAAGCCGCTTCGAGCGGGAGTTGCAAACCTTTCCTAAATATATGTACACTAGGAAGGGAGCGAATCTTCGAAGTGCTCAAAATCACTCCAGAGACGCTTTTATGTTAATATTACTAAACCAACGTGTTATTTAATGATCATTCTAACTTTTTGAGAGATTTCTGATAATTATTTACAGTTTTCAGTGGTTTTGGAAGGCTTTATTTCGAACCTACCTTGAAACTAATTAAAAATTCAAAAATTATCAACGGTTCAACACATTACGTCATCGTCCTCTGATAATAAGTTTGGGCTACCTGTGGTGTCGGATCCAGGGCGGCTTCTATTTTGGGGCTTTTGAGTGGCTTTTTATACTGAATGTCGAGATTTTCTTATTTACAATGACTGACTATATAAAATTTTATCATAAAATTCTGTAGCTGATGCTGTGAACAAAAGAAAAAAAAAGAGAATGATTCTTTTCCACGAAGAACGCTGTCCAATCACCGCGCTATGCACTAAGGGATATAGATATTTGAGGAGAAATAGCCAATTTAAACCTTCATATTCGTGAAAGATGTTTTTTTTATATTTGTAAAGTCGTGGCGACTATCACGCCTTTCTTTTTTGTGCTTTATCGGGTTTCATTGTGTGCGCAGTGAAAAAGAAACGAAAATAGCTAAGTGGACAATAAAACCAGCAACAACTCAATGTAACGTAAAGCAAACCAAAGCAAACCAATAATTATAATTATAATAACAATACAAAACATTTGTGATTTTTTGCTATTTCATCTTTACGGATTTTGTTTTTTTTAGTGTGATTTTGTCCCGTATTTCTGTCGATTTTTACATGTCACTTGTTTGCGTCTTTTGTAAAAACTTGAAGTCTGTTCCTCTTACGAACAGGAAATATAAAACAGACAAAAATCCTCATATATCAAAAGATTTATTTGGTTTCTGGACTTCAGACGTCAAAACGGCCTTCCCATCAGACAGTCATGCATGGGCGGCCTGTGTTTTTTGAGGTTCTTTTGAATGCTGGGAAGGTGATCCGCCATGTTGGAATTTGGTGCAAGTTTACTCCACCTAAAGTTGGATTTCCTCTCCCCAATACTTCTGTTTCCCGGCTCTGATTACATTTTTACCATGTGATTAACTTGACAAACTATACTTTTTGCCACGATGACAGGTGTTGTCGATCTAGTGTGAGGAATACAAGGCTTAGAATATAATGTAGATACAGTTTCACAGGAATTAGCAAATTGTGCATTGAAAAAAAGGAAAGAAAATTAAAAAAAACTAAAGAGAAGTCATGGGAAAAGTACTTGTGGATATTGAAAACTGTCAATTGATAATCTAGCATTATTCATATAAAACATACACAGGAAAAAAGAATAATACATTGTTTTTTTAACAGGTGGGTTTGCTGTTGTTCTCCTTGTTAAAGCTACAAATGGCAGACGATATGCCTTGAAAAGAGTTTCAGTCAACAACAAGCATGACTTAGATATCTGTAAACAAGAAATAAATATTATGGTAAGCTTGATATATTTGAATAAAAACTGCAAAAAAGAATCTATTTGTCTTTGCAACATGCCTCTTATGGCTGATTTACATGACATATTCTGATATCGAACTGTAGTATATAATTTGCCTACAAAATATCATAGGTACCATTCACAAGCGCATAATAAAACTATTAACACACGGCATTGGTCATACAAGTTCTACTTGTAGCTCTGGTTTTGGAAAACATTGTATCATTTCCCTTCAACAAGTTGTAGGAATTTGGTCCCTACAAACCATGAGTCGTGTGTATCAGTCGTAGGCAAGTTGTAGGGGCATTTACATTGCATGATTTGTATAGCTGTACAATCTGTCTGGTTAAATCTGCCTTAGTTTATAAATTGTGTAAGCACAAGTGTATTGAGTTTAGAAGAAGGATGGATTTGGATTTTATTCAAGAAATACAAAACGGCATGTGTGTCTCTGTCTTCTGCAGTGAATCTGGTAGAGTGCGGGAAAAAATCGAAAATAGTGCGAAAAAGTGCGATTTTTTTCTAAAATAGTGCGAAAAAGTGCGGAGAATAAATTTGCATAAGTTAATTTTTGGGTGAGTTTGACGTTGTTTTCTCGCTTTATTCATAACCAAAAATAGTGAATATTCAAACGCCACATTTGATTTCCTTTTAGTGGCATTCTCCTGTTTAAAGTAAACATCATATTTCCGTTTGTTTTTTTGTGGCGTAAAGAAGTTACGTCTGATTTTTTGTTTATAGTTTTAAGTTACAAAGTTTTTCTCTTTTTTAAAAAAAGAATACAGTGTTCGTTTGTACGAAGCTTGGATAGCGCTATCCAGCGGATAAATCCTAATCAAGTGGATAAAATACGAACAAAAATAAACGAGTGGTTTATCCGCGCTATCGGTCGATCCACGACGCTTCGTAAATTATTAGTACCCAGTGTTACACGCGTGGAACGCCTGGCTGTTTTTTGGTGTAAAACGTATTTTATACTTCGAAATTGCAAGCGATTCAAGCGCTATAAAAGATACAATTATCGTTTAATTTTGCCAAAAAGGTAAAAATAGTACGTCTTCTTATTCTTTCATAGCAATTTTATTTGTTTACTAATGAAATTAACCTTAAAAGTGTGAAAATCTATGAAAAGTGTGAGAAATTGAAAATAGTGCGATTCGGTGCGATTTGAGGTAAATAGTGCGGGATCGCACCGTCGCACCCTACCAGATTCACTGCTTCTGATATAAACAAACATGGTGGGAGTTGAAAAACATGAGAGAAGCAAGCTTAGGAACACTTGCTTCTCATGTGTGCTTTTCAATTCGCACCATGTTTTTTTCAGAGAACAGAGACACAAGTGGCTGTTTTATAATTCTTTTATAAAATTTTTCTGCATTTTTCAAAAAGTTTTTTGAGAAAAACAAATTTTGCCAGTAAGCCATGTCTCTGTCCTCTGCTGTAAACACTGTCGTCAGCCCATCAGAGAGCGTGTTATATACATGTATCAAAAATTTTATAATCATTTATACAGTGTGGTTAGAATTATTCCATTCTTATTCCATTTTGTTTTTTCCACAGAAACTTGTCAGTGGTCACAAAAACACTATTTCATTTCTGGATTTCTCTATTAATCAAATCAAGGAAGAGATTTTTGAAGTGTTGATTTTGATGGAATATTGCAAAGGTAATGAAACATGCCAGCCATGCATGCACATGTAATTTTAACTAGAATTTATGTAACAGTCTTTAGTGAAACAAGCAGGCATTTATT